ATAATCAAACTATTTACTGCTTATTACACAACTGCCACAGCAAATATTAGGGACACGACATTTTTATCAAGCAATGATGCACAGAGACATTTATACATGTATATACTTCGAGGGTAACTGAATAAACAAAGAGTGATAACATTACTATGCGGACAGTCTGAGAGGTCAGTTAATAAACTGTAAACACCGAGATGAAATTCCAGACAAAGATTTGACAGGGAGAGAATATGATTTTGGGGTGAGTCTGGAATGTTTAAACAGTACGCTGATTGGGATCGATAGAGGATCCATAGTACTATTGTAGATGGGAAACATTTAGACTGCATTCCTGAATATGTGATGCATGAAGTGACAATGAATCATGTTACTTAGATATCAATATCATATCTCATGTTGATCAGTTGCTCATACTTATGGACATTTATTCTGGATGATTAGTTTGGTTATGGAAGTTTAAAAAGAGCATTCTTAGTGAAGTGGTAATATAAGAAATCTGAAAAATTGTTACTAAATGTAGTAAACACTTTAGGCCATCATTTAATTGACTTAATTGAAATGTTCTTCAGATTTTATGTGAGAAAAATGTAAGATTTGGGTTATCAGTTATCAAACATCAGATGTCTTGGAAGAAGTAGGAAGATTAACTTTAATCAACTAATTAACTGATAATTCAAACTACGTGTTTAATGGTTTTTAATTCTTAAGCTTACATAATTTGTAAATGATAGTAGTTTTTTATGTTATTTCTCATAGCCAGTGGTTGTAGGGGAGGTTAAGGCTATTTTAAATAATATTTTTACATCATTTTATGAATTTAGATTTTGCTATGTGATTAATAATTGAACACTTTATAAGATATATGTTCATCATCATTTAAACCTCTTTTTAAGAAAAGAATTACGATTGTAAAGTCATTAGTTTCAAAGGAATATTTTTCTGTAAACACATGTATGTGTTACATCCATTATATTATTTTTAGCTTGCTTTTTGTGCTTGTTTTGGAAAATGTATTTTTATTTTCATTAGCATGTATCTGATAATGTTTGAAATATTGTGAATTATCTTGTTTGAGGACAAACAAATGTTTAAGGTGGGAGGAATGTGACGAAGTCATAGCTGACCTCGTTGGTCAGTCTACTTATTTCACTTCACATCAGTTGATGTCATGATGATCTTTTTCTGTTACTCATGTTTATAATTATTGTGTTATTTTGATAAGTTTATATTTGTATTATAACAGTTGTTTTGGGGATCTTTGAACTCAGTGTGATATTTCACAACATCAACAGTTTAATTTCTAATGTTTTATCATCATGTTAGAGCAGTTTTAGGCATGGAATATTTCTAGAGCCAATCAAACGAAAGGATTATTCTTGAGATATGAGTGGCAGAAATGATATATGAAGTCAACTGATGGGAAATTTTGCAATGTTTAGTTAAGATGTTTATAAGTTTCGATAGTTTTTGGCATCATCTTGAAGACTGCAAATTTCTGATAAACAAAGTAAAAAGCGATTAAACCTAACGACCTGGAGTACAACTGACCAAAACATCAATACTGCTGTATATACTTTGCAAATGTTTATACCTTTATATTCTACATCACATTTTACGAATAATTGTATACTTTTTAGGGTGAAAATGTACTTACAAATATGTGTTTCGGACATAAATTAGATAATGAATTAAATTAGATAATTAGATTAAACATCCAGAGTTCATGAGACGAGATTCAGAGGTTTTGTCTACGCATTCCTTTCCCACCAAATTCTGCCAAATTCTCAAACTTTCGGTAAACATCCAAGATTCGTGGGCAGAAAATCATCACTATTCCTTATTGACTTTCTATAAAATTAAACATTCATTTTTCGGCCAATTTTAGTTAATGAGATTTCTTCATATTTTATTGGATAAGACCTCTTATTTCGGCTCTGCCCACCTCAAAATTAACATTATAAAAGAGGCATTTTTAGCATTGAAACCTCAGAACCTCGTTGCATGAACTCGGGACTAACCAAAAACTGTAAGTAACTGATTGAAATTATATTTTTGGACTTTAACTTTTCTTTAATAAATTTATATTTTAAACTATATTTGTTTTCATGTTTTGTAAAAGATAGAGAGACTCAACTTCGCCACAGTACTTGTATTCTTCAATAGGAGAGAACTGGGGATAAACATTGTAATGGAGAGAGAGTTTCTTTGCAATCAAAATAGTTGAAGTCAAGTGCATTCTCCTCATCCGATTATTTTGGGTTCATGCAGCTGTACTGCTACTGTACATCCGTTAGTGGTACATGTATGTGTACTGTGCATCTTCATCTTGAAGGAGGGTCATAATTAACTACAAAATCAATAACATCACTGTACATGTAGATTTACCATTACAATTATATATTTCGAAAATAAATGAAAGCACTTGCACGTTGCCAATTAGACAGGGATTCCAGCATGTTTAACTAAGGAAGAAAAAACAAGTCAAAAATAAAATGTTCAACTTTCTGAACTTGGCCTAAAGCTATGCAAAAATACACTGGATCGACGCACTGTGCAGCAATTATGAAAGAACTTACCTTGTTTGAGATATATGAAGTGTAATTTCATCGTGAGAATGTAGAATCTTTTGAATGAGAGCAAAAAACGCTCAGATTTTGATTTATTTTTTAGTTCACTTTTTGTTCCTCTAGTTTGAAGAGTTTTGACAAATCTAGGTCATGGCAAGAAATCGACTAATTTTGACTCAATAAACTTATAAAATGGCTTGTAAAACATCATAACATAAGTAAATAAATAAGTTAAATGATAAAACAATTCAAACAAATCGGGTGTAGCTTGGAACTAAGAGGAAGAAAAAATAAATTTATGTGCTTTTGTAACCAGGAAATAAAGTTTACCGGTGGCATTCAAAGCTAACTAGGAGCGATTGCATTTGTTACATACCTTCTGGACAGCTTCTAGCGGGCACTTCTGACTTTATTCTTGGTCCTCTTGTCCATTAGGCGCCCATTCAACGCCCCCTGTTCGCGAATTTTCACATTAGACTGGGATCAATTTTGGCTGAATTTTGTTTTTTACTTTCACTTCCGCAATGGGGAATATTGATTTTACGACTTCATCAAGAGAAGATTGAGATGTTTGAGCCATGTAATATTGCAAAAAGGAGTCCATAACATATAATATACACAAAACACAACGTATTACCCATACAGATGTTTTTATTTATTGACAGCAACGGGCACCATAGTTTTACGACATTGCCATAAAGTAGTTCTCGTATCATAACAATAACACGATGACGTCACGCTAGATTTGATTTAGTCCACCACGTCCTTAATACATGTTAATAGAATGACCTATATTTTGAAATACAAGTATAAAGGTCAGAATGACCTAATTCTTGGATCTGGTTATCAAACAAAGTCCCTTTCTTTGATATCCTGTACAATTTCCTTTAAATATCTTGGGGGCTAATATAGGGTCTTAAAGACACTTGTCCTTTGAAATCGATCCATCAACTGGATTTTAGGATGGAAAATCCAAAATGGCTACCTTAAAATTTACCAGAATGCAGAAAAACTAATCAGTTCAAGATTTTCATATTAAGAATCATACCCGAAAATTTGAAATTGATCCCTCAAACTTAACCTGAAATCGAGTAGACAAGACTTTACAGACTAGATTTTAGGACAGTTGTAAAGTTATTGGAAGTTGTTAGACTTAGTTACAGACGCTGATCGCCAACCACCGTTACAAAAAACACTTTATGAAATGTCACAATGAAATTGGAATCTGTTATGCATTTCAAAAGACCATATGCACTATACTGCACTAACAGCTTTCATATCCAATTCTGGTTCAGTACATATTTTATCAAGACATGTTATAAATGGCTCATACAATTCATCAAATGATGATGTTTGACTCATCGAGTTTCGCAAAATATTTTTCATTGATATAAGTTATATAAGATATATGTTGATTGAGTCTATTTTGTTATTCATAAAAATCACACGACTTGCATTATGCTAAATTGAAAAATCGTATCTCTACATTAAAATATATTTAATTAAAATTTTACAAAAATCAGTATCAACTCATTTACAATCTGAAAATAAAAAGCGTTATTAAAATTACATTGGGACTAAACTAGTCCCAATGTCTATCCTGGAATTTAGGGGGGGGCAATATATTGATAAAAAATCTGTGATGTAATTTCTCAGTAACATTATAAGAACAATAAAGAGGTTAAGCAACACTACTTTTTACAACGTAAACCGCGAATGGGAAAGCGCACGCAGGTTTTTCTCAGGATGTGATGTCATATACAAGTAGTTCGACTACTTTCCCAGTTTACGTACATCCAAACATGAAAAATCAAAGTCTAGGTTGGTCATTCCGTAAAAAAACTTTTAGTACTTTATCAAGTTCAATCGAAATAAATACGATATAGGTCGAATGCATGAATATGTTTGACACAAATCTGTGTATATATTGAGATCATTTGTGTCCAATCTAATCAAATATATAACTTGAATATTGAGGCACCCATTTCATATGATCAACTCATCTTAATTCTACCATACATATTGTATTCAACAACTAAATTAAGCAGCATGGAAACAACATGTACATGGAAGACGACATTGAACTAGTATTAACATGTTGTATTTTGTAAGATTCAAGATGTCATAAAACACTGCCAGGCTGTGAAACATCTCCTTTCATCAATTTGTCAATAAAGTAATATTTTTTTATACTTTCAAATTAGAAAATAATACGAAAGGCCGCTAAGAAAAAGGCAAAAAACATTTTGAGGTTTACGTTATCATTACATCTAAAGTGCTCAGCTTAAAGCACTTTTGTTCATAGTACGTAAACGGGAATGTAAAGGTTTACGTTTACAGTTCACGTCATAAAAAATTGTCTTGCTTAACCTCTCTAATCTTTAATATATTACCCTTTTAGTTCAGTAGAAAAAGGTATTTGATATTGCATTTCAGGTCTTAGACTACATGATGATGAAGGAAAAGCAACATATGATGGTCCTCTACTTGTTGAAGAGAGGCAAAGAGAATGTTCTGGAGAAGATTCTAAAGAGTATGTTGGACCACAAATTGATGAAGCAAGTGCAACTTCCGATGGTCCTCCACTTATTCAAAAGGTGATGAGAAAATGTTCTGGAAAAGATTGTAAAGAGCTTTGCAATCTAAGTAGGAAGCAAAGGATGAATATAGTGCTGTAAGTGTAAAATAATTTTGTAAAAGCATTATAGAAAATTTAAGAATTTGTAAAGGCCCATAAAGATTTGGAAATGTTGTTTAATCATTTCAATCAATATAAAAAATGGGAATAATCTATGACACTTGTAATTTGTATGGGCTACCCATATACATAATGCATGAGGATGGAGCTCAAGCACAATATCAGAATGAGTTAGTACATGTTTGAATGCGTTTATATTACAAATAAAGAATGGTACGTGATTCTTGTTGTAATCATTTGTTATCACCCTATTATCAAGAATGATACTGCTCAGTTTTTGAAACCATAATTCTCACTAATGATAAGATGTCCTTTCCCTACCAGGAATAGCCCTGCTGAGTTATTTATGAGACCAAATGCACTCCAACATGGTCAGTCAAGACTCTACCTAACGTTGGAAAAAAATCACCTGGAATCGCAACTCCATTGTGTATCTATTGCTCCATTGTTCTATGTCTGTCTCTTATTGTTAAAATAACGAATTCTCGGTTCCTTTGACAAATTATTAAGTCACATCTCATGAAGATCCACGTCACATTCCGCACATTGTTTCCTTGACCACAGTTAGCTGTTTATCTTGTTACAACAAAGATTAAAGATATCGCTGTTTCGAATGAAAAAACCGATTTTTCAAGTTTTGGATTTTGTCTACAATTTTACCAAATAAGAGATGTTTGTGTTAATTGCCGCTAAAGTTTTTATAAAATTTTGGCAATCAATTGCTTGTATATTATTGAATAAATTCATGTATAAAAACACAAAATGGTTAATACAAGGGTCTCGATCCAAAATTTAGATTTTATGATTAATTTATTAATTTAATTATATATTCAGTTGAAAGAACGTATTCATTTAATAGTTTAAGACAGTAATTGGAACATAACTTATTTAAGAATTCCAGATTCATTTGAACTGAGCTATCTTCGGGGATTTATTTGTTTAAAGAAATAAGAGCTCTCCACCAGGTTTTCCTTTGATCATTTTTTCCCTGTCGCCTAAAAGTGTTAATAATTTTTATAAGAATATATTTCTCTAACTTTACACAAAATTAAGGTCGGTTGAATATTTAATAAATATTTACGTTTGGCAACAATTAAAAATTCAAAAGTGTAATCTGTCAACTAGATGTACATTGTCCCATTGAACTTACATATCCCAATTCACAGTTAACCCTAATGTAGACAACGTATTTTTCATAACACCAACGGGCAGGGGGTCAGATGCATTAAAACTGAAACAGCACAATTCCAGTATTACTTCAACTTGATTGAACTATTGAACCTCTGCACTTTCCACTTTTTATAGCATAAACGGGATTTTAAAAAGTTGTTCGACTAGCTCTCTCTAGTATGAACTTCTTCAGATTATTGAAATTCATAAAATTGTATCTTATTATCATAATAATGATTACATTAACGTATCGACACCAAATTATCAAGAGGCTGGAAGCTAACTCCCCATGGTCACATATTAATCACCACACAGACACTTTCATAAAATAAAATAGCATTCAACAAGATTTAAAAATCACATTTATCTTATCTTTAGCAACATCTGTCTTAGGGATACTTGAAGATGTTCGTTGAACATACCTTGTTACTCATTAAAAACCTGAATGGATTTTGAAATACAATTATTCAGTTATTGCATTATTTATATTACATCTCGTGGATTTCAATAACATTGACACAGTCGAGTTGATAACCTACATTTCTGATTTTTTAAATTATACCCAATAGGCTACATAATACACTGTTGCTCATAAATATGGAATATTTTATAGATATGAATTGTTTGATGGAATTTCTACAAAATGATAACATTTTTTGAAAATTTGTAATGTGTCTTCATTCCCTCATCAGTTTTGCATATCAAACTGATTGGTATGAAAAGTTAAAACAGAATTAATTATTGAAGATCTAAAAATCATAAAATTAATAGATGACCCCTTGGGGATGAAAGGGTTAATATCTAATTTTGCATTCACTCAAAATTCAAATGGAGGTCAGATTCTTAGTTGACCCTTTCAGCTTTCTAATGGTGTATTGGAACTACACACTTTTTTCAAATATCAAATCTCATTTCGACCTAGAACAAAAGTTCTGAAGCATTTTGTAGCATAATGGGGCACTGCCCTTAATGACCCTCATCTCAGCCTATCTAGGTTCAAACTCTAAAATGTTCTCCAAAGTATAATATGACATTGAATTAGTTATTGTAAACCATTCTGGCCATAGGGGTATTTGTCATTTTGAAATTGATTTTCATAAAGTTAATAAATGACCCCTTCAGGATGAAAGGGTTAATATCTAATTTTGCATTCACTCAAAACTCAAATGGAAGTCAGATTCTTAAGGCTGACCATTTCAGCTTTTCAATGGTGTATTGGAACCTTAGAACCTTATTTAGAAGCATTTAAAATCAAATCCACGGCAAAGTTGAAATAACTGAAATCTGTATACGTCTTCTTCTTTGTCTTCTTCGCGGACGCCACAGAACACACTTCTGGTTTAGTAATCGATGATTTTATCGATTAAAAATTTTTTTTTTTATGAATTTGTCCGATTTCTGCTTAAATATATGTATATTTGTGTTGATTGTTAAATTACAAAATAGGTAGGGTAAAGAATGTGTCAAAGTCGTTTGATCTCGTCCCAGAAGCAATATTTTGTCATTCCTGTTGCCTAGAAGTACAATATTCAAATGTAATACAACAATGTAATATTGCTTTTCAATTTACTTATATGTACCAGATATGTTTTAGAATGGAAGGTGTCACATCTATTGAGCTGGTGACAAAAACAAAGAGATACCTTATCACTACCTACAATGATCCTGTAAAAGTCAAGACTATCAAAGAGAAAATAGGACTGGATGAGGAGTTAAGTAAACATGCATTTGACTTTGAATCCTTGGAATCAGAAGAGGACATAGAGGGTTTCTTTGCTTCTGGGGATCTTCTAGATGAAGGAATAAGAAGGACTCCTGGATTTGGTACAATGGGAGCATATGTCAAACGTGTTGATAAATCAAATGGAGATGAAACTTGGTATGTTGCAACATGTTCCCATGTATTTCCCATGTGTTCACTGAAATCCCCTGTGTATGCCATTGATAACGACCGCTATGGGAAAATAGGTGAGTTAGCATACACGATAGACCCATTCACTAAAATTGATGGTGTTGATAGGGAAACAACCTTTGATTTGGCATTAGTAAAGCTTAACCCTGATATCACTGCTGATCAAATTCCAAAAATAAAAAAAAAGGGTGCAGTTGTATAATGAAAAGCAACTGTGAGAAGCTAGAGATGCGTGTTGATAAAAGGGGTAAAACAACTGGTTTAACTACTGGAAAAATATCAAGTATAAAGTTTTTTGGCAAAGTATCTTATAAAGATAAAGTTGGTAGTAGAAAAGATTTTCTGGTTCGGGACTCTATCAAAATTGACAGAATAGGGGATCGCTTTTTTGAAAAGGGTGACAGTGGGGCATTAGCATACATACAGGATGACAACAAATTCATCTGTATTGGTATGTGTTATTTCGGTTATTTCACCAAAGGGAATGCCCTGGTTTTTCCATTGAAAAAAGCCCTACAAGCACTTGAACTACAAGCACTTGAACAAGGCAAGGAAAACATTGAGTTTTATATATACTGTGGTGGTAAAGTATGTGCAGGAAAGCTCAACAATAATGGAATGATGAATGGCGATGAAATGCCAAAGTCTAGTTAATTCAAGGAGTCCTCTCTTGAAGATGCATTGATATGACTTTAAAAGTCAAATATACACCTGGCAGTAATGAGTATAGATGTTGATTTAGCGTCTGCTTTTGACGTCGTTCCGCATCAATTATTATTACAAAAGATGAAATCTTATGAAATTAGTAATAAAAGACCCACGGTCCTATGCTCACACAGTGTAGAACCTTCAGAGGAATGTATATCCTGATTTTCAACCAAAATTATTGATTTTGATTTGTAGTCTCGAACTTTGAGAAACTTAGATAGCACAGTTTGTGACCTAGTTTGAGGACCTTTGACCTTGAACATTTTACTTATTCAGAGCTCAGTAGGTCTTTTGTGATTAAGGTGACCAAAATTCACATCCAAATAATCAATTTAAAAAATCAACTTTTTTGACCTTTCGAAGGTCACTGAAGGTCAAATCTCAAAACTAAGGTCAGATTTGAACAAAAAATTTGGTCAAATTGAAGCAAGTTGAAAAATAACTTATTTTTACTGGTTTTTGATGTCAAATATCTCAAAAACAGTAAAAGTTTGATGCTGACATATATTGAGCAATATGTAGGGAATGCTTAAATCTAGTAATGATGTAATTCATTGCAAGTAATGAACAAGTATAGGGACAAACTTTGAGAAACTTGTCAATCACAAAACCTGCCATTGACGATATACATGAGAAAGTTTCCTGAAAATGACTCCCTTAAGTCCTACTTTTTTGTCATATTTTATAGACTAAACACCAAAAACTGTAATTTTAAGAGCTTTGAAATCTTCAGAGAACATAAGTTGCATGTACAGCAACTACTACAAGTTATTTGAAAGTTATACTTCAACAAAGTGTCTAGTATTTACAGAAAATTTGACTTTTTGACATCAAAATCAGCAATTTCTCGGAAACTGGGCGAATTTGGAAAATGGCGATGATAGGTCAAATAGGCATTATGGATATGCATAAAATGAATGTGGATATGACTCAATCCAAATAGCAGTTTTAATTTGTGCTGCCAATGTTGAGAAAATTTGACTTTTGACGTCAAAATCAGCAATTTCTCAGAAACCGGGCGAACTTGGGAAATGGTGATGATGGGTCAAATAGGTATTATCGATATGCATAAAATGAATGTGGATATGACTCAATCCGAATAGCAGTTTTAATTTGTGCGGCCAATGTTGATGGACGGACAGACAGACGGACGGACCAATGGATGGACGGACGCCTGGTCGATCCCATATTCTCACTGTGTGAGCCAAAAAAAGTAAAATGATCACCTCAAATTTCCAAATTGAAATTACAATATGTCAACCAAATTCCAATTTCACTTTTAAAGTTACAGTAACAAGAAAGTGAGACGCTGCCCGCCAGCTGACAGCCCACCGCCCATCAAACTGACGACAATATAGTACCTTTTTTAGGTACGATAAAAATGTAAAACAACACCTTTTTGATTTCTGCTACCATATACTGTATATATATATATATCTTTTATTGACTCTCTGATGTCATTACAATGACATATTAGTGTATACTAGATAATCATATACTTGATAGATTTTTGCATATTCCAAAATATTATGCTTGACAAGTTTAGGAAGTCTGACAGCTTTTATTAATCTGGCATCAATTCAAATAAGCTTGTGTGTTAGAAAAGAATACATGTATATAATAGTTAACCATCTCTTTGTTCCACTAGCCATATCTTAATCAATATTATTTCATGTATTTAGACCAATATTCTGTGTTTCAGTTATTTTGTCATTAATTACAACAAGTCATGCATGACTCATGATCATAGATTTATTCTTATTCAGAAAGGACACTGAAAATTGTTTTGGAGGGCCTGGGCTTGTATTGTGATTATGAAGAATAACCCTCCTCATATCATTTAGGTTTTCAAACAACTCCAGTGAATTAAGGGTAATTGAATCATAAAAATTATATATATTATTATAAATCAGATCAAATATTAGTGAGTCAGATATTTCCAAATCCAGGAAAATGGTTAAGTATGCTCTACTGATGACCCCGTGTGAAAAGAATAACACATTTTTAATCAAAGGTACTCACCATGCCTCATCATACCATGAGCATTTTAGCATCCATGCCGAGCTGATCATATCATTTATTTGACTAACATACAAAACCCTTTGCCTGAAATATGATACTGTCAACCAAACTCATTATGTCATTAAGTACCTTTGTAAATAGTAAGTAAAAGACAGAATATGTTAACTTACCTGTCTAAACAGTTGCCAACAGCAATGTCTATAGTCTCTCCAAATATTCTGTACTTTTTCTCAGCAAATGATATCACCTGTAACAGATATGGTAAATGTTATATGATTGAAGGTTTTGAATATGGTGTTTATCTCCCATGTTCCCAGACCTTAGCAGTCTGAAGCTCTTCAAACAATTAATTATGTAACAAGACCTTCAATTTTATATCAAGTGTACTAGTTCTCAGACTTGGACACAAAATTTGTGTCCATTTGACAAATTGTATACTAAAGATTGCTATTTAGGCATTTTAGATTTTATATATCTTGTTGATAATCAATTTTTTGAATCGAAGGTATGATTTACATTAAAATTTATAAAAACTAAAAAGAGATTGCTGAGTTCTGAATGTACCAATATATATTATGTATGTATGTATAACAATGTTCTTAAAGAACCCAATGTATGCTTTTTTATTTTATGCTTATATATCTTATATGTAGTAGACACACTGGTTTAAAAATCCATGTGCCACCATTTAAAAAGTGACAGCAAATGAATAAAAAATAAATTTAAAAAATATCATACATCGTAGATGTGGCTTGAATCAACACTGTATTGTATTGATTGTACACTTAATGTACATTTCACAAATATTGTACACTAAATATTGTATACTAAAGATTGCTGTAGTAGCCATTTTAGATTATATATATGATGTTGATAATCAATTTTGGAATCCAATGTCTGATTCACATTCAAATTTACATCTATTAAAAAAGAGATTGCTCGGAGAATTAAAATACCAAGTACCAATATTACATCATAGATTGTAGATTTGGATTGGATCACCATTGTTAGGGTTGAGGGTTATATGTATATGTGATACACTATTTTCATGGTTTCAGCGCTCATTTGCTGTAACTACTAACCATTGCACATTATTGTAAATTGAGACTATATACTCAGACAATGGATCAAAGCAAACAATGTTTATACACAACCAAATCTTTGATGTACAATCAACATTTCTAAAATCTAAATGTAATTCAATAATTTTGCTTTCTTATAATAAAAAATAAATTGTATGTGTAGGTATAGATAAAGTATTGTGTTTTTTAAAAGAGCATGGGGAGTAAAATCTCCCCAAACAAATCAATAAGTAGTGTTACAAAATCCTGGGAAGACAATGGCAATATAACATAACACAGTAAAAAATGGAGCAAAAGATCACTTATCTGTCTGTCCCTACAGTATTTTAAAAGAACTTTTTACAGTAGTTTTTCTGTATAGATGGAAATTTTTTTAATCTAGTACAGTGAAACCTATATATCAAAATACCTTTCTAATTTCCCAGTGTGAACCTCCCAATGTTAACAATTTTTTCAAGTCCCATTTTCCTTCCATTGACGCCTGTCTTGAAATGTGAACAACTCCCAATTTGAACAATGAACAGTCCTATTTAAAAAATTAACCTGTCTAACATGAACACTTTTCATAAAATGATATTTTATGTTTATTACAAAATGAATCAAATATTCCCTTTTAATTACTGTTTTTATTAAGTCAGAAGTTCTGAAAAAAATAGAATGATCCCAATCATAATGTGACTTTCTAAATGACTGATCAAATCATTTGAATTATAATTTTTCAAATTATTTGAATACCATAAAGCTATGAGACCAAATCAAACTAGTACTTTTTAAAAATGTTGTTCACGTTTCTCCAAATTCCAGAATCTCGCAAATGCAAAACCTCAAAATGTGAACACCTCCTAATCCAAACACTTTCAGCTGGTCCCGAAGGCATTTGGATGAGACAGGTATAACTGTACTGTACATATTCCACCTACCTGTGTATTTCCTCCACTGACATAGAGCACAGTGGGGTTATCAGCACCTGTAATAAGGCGACCCATCTCTATATCTGAGTGAAAGTTAAGGTAAAAATGTTCCTCCATGGTACACTGTTCCTGCATGTTGAGCATATTAACTACATGTACTAATATTTTCAACTGATTTCAAAATGTGGATAAATCTGATAAACTAAATCTATCACATAAACAATCGTATCTCATACTTGAGTGGGTTTGGGCTAGATATCACCCGGGAATATATATCGTATCTGAGGAGCGGGCAGGATATATTCTATATGTCCCGCTCCAGTCCAAATGCGGGCAGATATAATATATCCATCCCGCTCCCGGGAATTTTTTCAATATAATTCTTTTTTCGTGCAGTGTAATAATGATGCATTGTGGGATTTCTCCAGATGAAAAATTAGAAATAAATATTTGGAAAGACACTGAAATTCGATTAAAACATGGATAATATACATGAAAACGACACTCATTTGAATAATAACGAAGCAGAAACTAACCGCAGATTCGAGAATCAAATAGATGTAGAAGAATTTCTCACAACCACTGAAAATGAAAAAAATTGAAAACAAATTTGGAAAACCCACTCAAGTATGAGATACACCAGTTATGTACGGTCGGTTTTGGATATAGGGTTTATCCCTCGGGAAATGTTTATATCTCCCTTGGTCCCTTTCGGTCCCTCGGGGAGATATAAATATATCCCATGGGATATACCCTATATCCAAAACCTCCCAGTACATAACCCTTATTTATCCTATGACAAGTGAGGACATACATGTATACATATATTTCTCATGCTCGAATATTCCTGGAAAAATGTTTTTTCAGTGTAGAAACAGTCAATTTTTTACTATATATTGCTATAGTGAAATGTCAAATTGGACAGACAGTCGAATTTTTCTTGACCAAAATGTTGATGGATTTCCTGAAAATAATGAGAATGAGGGCACTTTAAAGAAAACAAATCTGGATATGGGTGTCCTAAAAACTTGCTCAGAAAACCTGCATGATTTTGAAAGAATTTTTGGCCAGGAGGTGTTCTGGCCTGCTACACCTACTGAGACTCTAGGAAGGTTACCAATACAGTAATATACTGTATCTAGGGTACAGAAATGTCAGTCCTGGTCCATTTCAATGAATTCAATTCATATAAAAAAAAATTATAAAGGATACGTCCAATGCAATGGTTCACACCAATGATAGGCTTTTTCCATATTTGGGCAACTGTCCTGGCTACTATGGCAACAGATACCAGTGGTGCCCCCATACCAGGTCCTGAAATAAGAGAGATTCTTACAATAAACATTTTGATTTATCTCCATAGTACACAGATGATATCACTTATACTTTTCCATTGACTCCCAATTGTCTCATACTTAATGCTTTTTTATGATAACAGACAGAATGCCAAGAAAGGTCAAACAGAATATTAGAACACAAAGACAAAATGGATAGAATAAGCAATTCTCATGATATGATCCTCACACTTGCAGGTCATCAGGCCTTAATGCTTAATGGTCAATAAACTTGGAATCAATGAGTGAGTTCAAAGACTCAATCACAGACAAAAATATTATTTCATGGGTTTTACCTTTTGTGTAACATACGACATCTATTTGCTCTGGGTTAATCTTTGCTTCATCTAATGCCTCTTTCAACACTTCTAAAACAACCCCTCTGTGATGCTTGGCTGTGTCCCTAGGGAGGAAACCTTGGCCTGGGGGTGTAATATATGTCCTCCGAGGGTTAGATAACACATTCCCATCTTCAATTATCCCAACTCCTATTTTATTAGCGCTGCCTTCAAATCCTATCGCAATCACCATTGTAATGTGTTATGTCAGCTGAAAGTATGTGAATAATAGGTTGATAGCTGTGATCAAGTCAAATTCAGTAGTTTGGGAATCCTGTGGCACAGACAATATGCATCGATCCAAGGCTAGAATGTGGAGATGTCTTGGAACAATTTAGGAGTTCAGGTCTCACACATACTATTCTAATCTGTGGCATTTTTCTCAGGGGAAATGGTTTGAATCGACCCAAGTATCCCGGGCCGAGGATTCAAGAGGTGGGATTCAATTGGATTTGAAACGTATTGAAAATGGACCAAAAAGTTGGTTGTTTCCAACAGGACGTTACTCTTCTCAACAAACGTTTCCCTCTAATGATTTAGTGATCAGAAGAGTACCCCTCCTATGTTCGGCATTGTTTTTTTGGACTGAACAGTGAACATGTGAATCAATCTGAACCAAATGGGCGATAATAAGTGACAATGAAAGAAATTTGGATAATTTGGGAGAATAATAAAACCAATACTCATTATAATTCCACACATTTCAATAGTAAACTATCCACGCTTGCTTCAGTAGTTTTGTTAATGTGATTACATCGTAAAACATGCAGCAAAACCCCAAAAATCCAAAACACTTTTTACCCGTCGGCCACTTGCGTCAAATTTGCAAACGATAGAAATCCTGTAAATCGGTTTGTTCGCATTTGGCATGTTGTCGCGTCCGGTTCCAGCCAATCCGAAAACGCTATTTCGAATAACAGCATCCCATCATATAACCAACTATTCACCGAAGGTAACTATGATTTTATTGAAACTAATGAAACCGATTTATGAATCGTTTCATAGGCCTAAATAGCCACGGCCCAGTATCGGGAATAATAAATAGTACCATGGGTACTGCGCTCATGGGAAGGTTTCAATATTATTAATATTTTACAGTAGGATCTTAGAATAAATTAGTTTTTTCACAATAGGAAAGGTTTTGTAAAAGTACTTGAATAGCTAGCTGAAATGAAAATACCATTTCTATAATGAAGTTGGAACAGAGGAATTTCACAACATGGGCTCTACCACTCTAGCTCTATACATAATTTCAGTATGCAGTAAAAGTTGCGGCCATTTTGAAATTTGCAACATATTTTGCCTAAACTTTAGACAAAATATAATTTTTTATTTTGGAAATATATATACCATATGGTATATATATTTTTTGGGATACGATTGTATTGAATTGTCTTGGAACGAGGAAAAAGGTTCCCGTGAACAATAGGCAAAATATAATTTTTTTATTTTGGAAATATATATACCATATGGTATATATATAAATATTTTTTTATTTTGGATACGATTGTTAATTGTCTTGGAACGAGGAAAAAGGTTCCCGTGAACATAGGTTCCCGTGAACCGAGATTTTACCTCAGGCAAGACGTTTTTTTATTATCTTGATGATGGGCCAATTCATTCTTTTCTAAAAAAAAATATTTTAGTTTTCTTGCATCACGACCATAGTTATTCAAACCAAACCAAACACAATTTCTACAGTAATAACCGAGTGCATTTTCCTTTGTTTTCAATTATAAATTAACGTATCTCTTTAAAATCTGTTAAACTCGGAGCCTGGGGACAGGTTGCACTCATTTACAACGTTTCCACTTCCACCCAGTCACTGGTCAGTACCAAGCGAAGGTTACGGCCGTCACCTTCACATCTAAGATGGCGGACGGGAAGTGTCGATTTCGATATCTAGTTTTCATCGAATTAAACTACTTTATACTTGACGTTTTGCTCTATGATATTTAAACTAAACCAGGCGTTTATGACATGGACACTACGGTCATAGCCTATATCAAGGGAAGGTTCCTGGAATTTTGGTTTCAAGACCATTACCATATCATACATTTCCAGTAATTATCGTTGAACTTTAACACTCAGAGTTGCGTAGTTTCGTTTCATTTAATGCACCATTTAAAAAAACAGCTATTGCTGCTGCAAATAAAGACAGGTGAGGAAATAACGTATTGGGTCACCTATAACATTAAAATACATTCAGTAGTTTACAAATGTCATTGTTTTGACCCCATCTTATCGTCCTCGAAGTTAAAACGGTCTGACCTGACTAAAAACTTAAGTCGTGATCGAGGTGTGAAAGTCCGTATAGTCCATTAAGTCCTTTTTTCGATTTGTATTTAATTTCAGTAATTTATAGCTTTATTTTATTCAAATACTAAAAAAGGAGTGGTATCGATATGGTGAACTTTTTGAACACGTGTTTCTCTTAAACCAGTCATCAAAACATTCTGAAAATGTTACACATCTTTTGGATGGTAACATAATAATTTGAAATATGTATAATTCACTTTTCTCTATATTGTTTTAGAAAACACATCAGACACTTCTTATGTTCTTGGTACCATATGCTCGGAATGAAATGAAACATCTATCCGAGGAGTTTAAGCTTGCAATGTTTTTCACAACCCAAACGTGAACGAAAAATATTTAAGCGATGCATTTGTATGGGCGATTGGTCATACCTATAGGTTGGCTTTTCGATTTTATATGCAAGCTTAAACTCCCTATTATTAACAATTGGCCTCTAACCTAAGTCCGACTAGATCATCTCGCACTGGTGTATTTTTTAAGTAATCTATTGCTCCGTCCCCCTACATTATATTACGGTGTGGATTTATAATGAAAACATTATAATATAAAACATCCCCAAACTTGAATCTTTCTTTTGAATGTTTATTGAGAGTACTAAAATATATAGAAGAGTTAAACGGTTATTGTCAAATGAAACATATGACCGTTTTTGGCCCACCCTGTAGAACATGCACTAAGCAGAAGACGACTATTTCCAATCAAAGTCAGAGTTTGCTCCTTCAGAATTAATAGGATCTAATTCGTCCATGATCGCTGGGTATGGATAGTCAACCGCCAGAAGACGACGCAATTGTGGCGTGGCGCGTTGCATCACGGTCTTCTGAAGAAGCCTCCTTTGGTCTTCCATCGGACGGATATATTTTGGCAGGTATTGCATAAGCAGAGCACCGCGAGGTTTATTCGATTTGTTCGGCATTGCACAGTGATTTATCAGTCCTGGGAACATCACGACATCGCCAGTTTTACCTTCTGTCTGTATACAATTCGCATAAAACGAATCAGCATCATCCGGGTAGTGAATATTCTTCTGGGAACCTGGGAGGACAGCCGTTGCTCCATTCTCCTTAGTGAAATCGTGTAGCATCACAGTCACCTGGATGTTCATGTGGAATTGGATTTCGGGACTTTTAGGAGGCACAGGCCAGTGTTTCTTAGAGAAATAATCCCAGTACGGGTAGTCGATATGGGGCTCCTGACCAGAACCCCCTGGGAATAACACATTGGCCGCAACACTCCCCAGTTGACAATCATCCCCTAAGATGGGATCAAGAATGGCCAAGATTTTGGGGTGCTGAATTATCTTTTCAAATATTTGTCCCTTATTGAGCAAATTCCAGACTCGTGCCTGCGTCTCTGGCTTTCCCTTTCCCTGAAAATGCGTCGCACGGCTGCCTTGTGTTTCAGCAAGGTACATAATCGTATCCCTCGCGTTATCAACATCATCTTTGGAAAACAGACCCGATAGTTTAACATGACCAGGTCCTAGAGTCAGTTCATTGACAATGTCTTTGACATCTGACGTATCAGTGCCCTCGTATTCTAGTTTTACAGTATATGCTTCCCTTGGATCAACACGTTTGGGATCTGCCGTTGAAATTGTCGACATCAACTTAGTGGGCCTAATAACATCACGTTGTATATAATTCGTCCTTGTCCGGGTACTGCTTTTTGCTCCTTTCACGACTACATTTCTCAAGATATTGGCCATAATGCAATGTTCTTACTGGGTGCTAAACTCAGAGGTGTGTTTAGTTATGTTTATGTTTAGCCTATACATTGATACTACTCGTCCTACTCTTGACCTCGTGTCGTTCAAAACTGATCTTTAATCGCTGTGATTAAGGTAGTGCAAGGTGACAGTGAACTTTTGAAAACGTAGCAAATGTTGTTTTTTGTAAAAGTAGTCCATCAAAATTACTGTCTTCGGTTTTGACTTTGTCTCAATTTCGTTAATTCAGCCTATCATTAAATGTGAAGCTCATTATTAGGTATTGGAACAGATATAAATTAAACATATTGAAGTAGAAATTTCAGCCCTCTAAGTTGTGACACTATCTTAGATAATATTCATATTTTATTTGTCAATGTCAGTAAGTACATGGTACACGTATATATTGTACCAGCTGACTATGTGTATCTGAGCAAGCGAGAGTTTCAAAGTCCGCTCTTAAATGAAAAGTAATGATGCAATTTGTTTTAACACTGGGAACAAAGTTGAATAATTAACCCTTTCATCACCAGGAGGTTAATTTAGTAATTTAAAACATTTATTGAAAAATAAGAGAAATGCATGATTTCAAACTCTGTTAACAGTTATTCCAGAACAATGAAGAAGCTTATTTTATAGATAAATAATTTAGTGTTAATGACTTCGTCTTATGTAAAAAAGGAAAAAGGTATCTCAATATTAGTTAGCTGCTTTCTTTTCATTCTATGTAAAACACTTTTATAAAGTAGCCATGAATTTGGCAGTAAAGTGGCTGGGACTACACTTTTGGCTTATTTGATACAATATTTAAGAAATATCTTACAAACTGGTTGCATTTACTAAATGTGACAGAGAGGGTGGGGAGGAGGAAGAAAAATGGGAGTAGTGCTTATTAAGGCAAAGGTCACATTTTCACATTTCACATCCTCTTCATCATCCTTAAAATGACAATGGTATTCTTACCATTAGCTCATGTGACCACGAAATGCACTGATTGAGTCCATAGTACTCTTTGCAATAGTGGTGTATTGGGACAACCACTATTATTGTATATAAGCAGCAAACAGGAAGCAAATGTAAATATTGTACATCATAAATATATTTTATTGTTTTGTCTTTAATAGTCATAATATGTACAGACAGAGCATGTTTTATTATAGGCACCAAATACCAAATGATAGTCAAAAAACTCTGTTGTACTTAAAGTTTAAGTTTATCGTAATAATTCTATGATGATAATCAAAATGAAATTGAAATTCTTAAAAGTACTTTTTAAATGGCAAATGCCGATTGGTACACTTTAATATTTTTAACAACACACATTTAAAATTGTTTTCAGTTATATATAGAAATACACAAAAGACAGATAAAAGCTACAAAATGTGATAGCTAAAAGACATATGACAACTGACTAAAACAATAACTGACTAAGGACATGGGTAGGCCCGTAGCCAGGGGGGGGGGTTCGCAGGGTTCGGGCAAACCCCCCCCCCTGGCCAAAAATTCATTCAAAATCATGCAGTTTTTCACCATTTTGAGCACTTTTCAAGTGATTTTAGCCATATTTGGGGCAAAACTGTCAAATGTGAACCCCCCCTGGAAATTTTTGAAAATTGAACCCCCCCCTTGGCAAATCCTGGCTACGGGCCTGATGGGCATTCAATAGTAAAAGTCCATGCTAAGAACAATGAGTAACATGTACAAATAACATGTAGCTTACAACGATTGTCTACAAGAGAGATACATAACTAAATACAAAACAGATAGAGAATCATAAATAAATGTATACTCTAATATCACTGTACCAAGTGACTAGCTAACTTAACCCTTGTAATCAAACTACTCTTACTACTCTCACAAGATGTTTTGATACAAATAACAAAGTTTTTCTATTATTTTTGGCATATCATGTAAATAAGGGTTTTTAATAAATATATAGGTTAGACTAAATAAATGCTATTCAATGTTGAACACTCCCGGGTGAACACTATGAAAGGATGACATACATTTTTAATGTTGAAACAGTATATTAAGTACATGTAGAACAAATTAAGTACATGTAGAATATATTAAGTACATGTAGAATATATTAAGTACATGTGCAACACATCAAGTACATCTTCAATATATTAAGTACATGAACACTATATTAAGTTAGTGACATGCAGAGAGTTCATTCATCTACAGCCCCTCGAATGTGATTTAATTTTAATAAACATTAACTAAAATAGTCATTTATATTAAATCAAGTCAAGGACGTAGCCAATCATGAGGCAGGTGAGCCAATTGCATCACCAAAATTCTACAGATAAATTTTTTCCAATGTTTTTTCGAATTATACTGCGGAAATGAAGTCTAAAGGTAGTAATAAACCCTCTTTAGCCTCGTCTATTTTATCTAAATTTGCCTCACCAAAATTTCAATCCTAGCTACACCCCTGTGTTAGTCAAAGATACACAAAGGTATAAAAGCTCAGATTGCTCTTAGTTCAATTTTATGAATTCAGGGTCTTTGATCTTGACACAGTTATTCATGATACTCAAAACTCAGATAAAACACTAGCAGCATATACCTACTTAAACCCTGTAAAAATCCATCAACTTGGTCTCAATCAGATACTTAAAACAAGTCAAGTATCCACAGCAGGGTTCACAACTATGGTTGAAATCATGATTGTCACAAATTCACATATTGGCATTCAGTCCATTTCCCAACAGGCAACCAGTTTTTCAAGGTCCATTGCCAAGAGTGAAAAGTGATTGCCAATGGCAGACACGCGGCTGTGAGTTTTGTACCCTGATCCACAGGGTGTTCAACAGGTTTTCGGTAGACTGGGAACTTATTCTGATTGGAATTACACAAAATCATGTGCTAAAGAAACGTTTTGTCCAAAACAGTACATTTTAAGGAACAATGCAAAAGTTCGATGTATGAGAGCATACTACATTTTAATACATCTCTCATATACTCCCTTCCCTTGTCAACTATATGAGAAATCTTGACACCAGCAACATTTTCTTACAGGAATCCTTATACACAACAGGTTCCAAGTTTTCACACTTTTAACAACCTACATGGCACATGTATTTTTCATTTTCTTATTATATATTACTTTATATTATGTTATAAGGGAAGATTGGCATCAATCCTGCAGTGTTACATGTTAAAAAGCTGATGACTGTCCAGTCTGATGACAATACTAGTAGGATTATTTGGCCTGAAAAACTTTGCTATTTGTAGAATGATGATAAAGTGAGAAAACTAATTCATTTTTTATTTCCCAGATACAACTTCCTCTGAGTCCCGTTCGAATTCAACTGTTTGTAAAAGAGATATAACCTGGTCAGCGATGTCCTTATTGCATGCACATATCACCCTTCTTGCCATCATGTCCATATCTGATCCTACAAGGCAAATCACAAAGTCATGTATTGATACTTGACAAAACTTTATACTAATGTATAATTTTGATCATAAGCAATTTACATTAATAAATCTAAGTACATGTACATGCATTTATATTCATTTCTTATAAAGAACAACATTAAAATACAACTTATCTGGATGAGTCAATTACATACATGTAGGTTATTTGGCAATAATTTTGAAAAGGTAGACCTCTTTTCAATTTTTGTAAATAATGACATTTCTTCTGCATCTTAGATCTTCAATAACTTCCATATTTGATCGTATTTCTATTTTTCTAATGATAAATTATGATTTTGAACATTTTTTATAGCCTAAGCTGTTTTATTTCATCATGGTATTATACTATTGATTTTAAAAATTGATTGCCAAGTTTTTTGATGTTCCTTCCAACATTTTACCATGGATATGAAGTTAACAATTTCGCTGTTACTGGCTCAAGATTCTACATACCACTTGGATCTAAGACTACTCCCCCAGCCTCCCTTACAATCAGGTCTCCAGCAGCAACGTCCCAACAATGGATACCATATTCATAGTATGCCTCACCCCTCCCAGAAGCAACCAGACACATCGCCATAGCAGCAGACCCTAAAGAACGGATTCTGTAAACAAGATATAGTAGAAATGTGTATGTTTGCCATTCAATACTACATGTATTTAACTGTTACAACTTAAGAGTAACATTAGAAGGTCTGATACAGAATAGTTCTGTTTCTCTCAAACAGGGAACTTTAAAGAATAAACAGAACTATGAATGCTTGGCTCAAATGGCGAGATACTGACAAAATAAAGCAACTAACTCCTGTAGAAAACACATTGATACCATTGGGCAATGACTCATCTGCCTAACAAATTTCTAGATCATCCTAGCCTTTAGAATTCCTTTGAATCATACCCCATCCCCAATATATACGCTACCTACCCATGAGATTTGTTCACAATTCTGTGCATAGTTTCTACTCTCTTGGTCATCTTCTCTGGATCCCTGCTTGAGCCAAACTCTGCTAATATCAATGCATTTTGTAAATCTGGAAAGAAATTCAAAAATTGGCACTTGTTGTCTTAACATACTGTCAAATCCTTTTGAGACTTTGGAATTGTTTCAACACTGAAGTGTCCATACAAAAATAGACCACAATGTTAGATGTTATTAGATGTACTGTAAATACCAATCTTGAAATGTAACCATTCTTTTTTAACTCATACATAATCAATGAGGCTACTAAATCACCTATGGCCACAATTGGTTGTATTTGAATTGCAGACCAGTTGCAATGGCATTTTCCAAGTATCCAAAATTACAAAGAATTACAAAATAAGCTGGGTGAGATTGTTGCTAACTAGCTCTGGGCCTCTAGGCTGGTCACTATGTCCTACTCTGAATGGAATTTCCAATACATGTACATACTGTTTACATCTGACACCTTTAGTTTAGTGTTGTTGCAATACGCTCCATGGCCACGTTTGGCTGTATACATATGGTCCAAGTTGGGGTTGAAAACAACTGCAACTTCAGTCTGAAATATTCAAAAATATATTCAGTGTTATCAAAATGATTTGAAATAAACCTAAACATGTTTTTGGTTTATCAATTTACCTGATGAATCACCAGGTAAAGCAAGTTTCCTTTGTCAACTCTGTTAACAATTAATACTTAAGCAAGTAAGAGAGCTGAGGAATTATTGTCACATTGGATGACATATACGTTTAAAGGAAGGGACAGAGACAAGTAAGTTTCAAAAAAGCACTGTTTCCATCCAGTTACTAAAAGTATATCATGCAATATTTTTGAAATTAGAAGATCTCCACTTTTTTAATTTTAGTGAACTTGGATATTTTTGCATTTTGATTTACTTCTGTATTTGATCAGATGTCTTGATTCTCATTTTTTAGAAAATAAAATTAGGATTGGCACACATTGTGAAAATATTTATTATGATATTTTTTATCATCCTTTTTACTTCCTTTACCTTGAACACCTAGAGTGATGGATATTTCAGTCACAGAAATTAGAACATGTATAATTCTTCTATTGTTCAGTAATATTACCAAAATGCACATCAAATATTGTATATAAAGATAGAAATATGGAGAAAGCTGTTATTCTTGGCTGGTGATCTGTCTAGCATGTCCAAAACAAAAATATATTTGATTCACATATTATAAATCAAATCTAGAAAAATTACCTCAGATAATGAGTTAAGGAAATTCTTACCCTTTTATTGATAAGTAAACCAATTGATATACAGCTGAATTGAAATCTGGAAAATATATAATACATGTTTACAGTTGAACTGCTGAAAACATATATGTCATATAATGCCTCAGTCACATGTGATCTATGTCAACCGTACAGCAGTTGTAGCTTCACAAAATTGAAAAAAATATGCAGCATAAAATACAAGGATTAGCAGTATGATGTACATTTTCTATATCGATTTTGTGAAATAATGGTTGCTGTATGGCCGGCCGGCAATTAAGATGTGTCAAAACCCTTTTTCCATTTACAATCAATTTTCAAAGCTACAGTATATAATGTTAAGATTACCATACATTGTGACATTACATATCACAAACAAACATGTATTTCTATTTATTTATATAGATGAGTATCAGATACTGATATTTTACCATAAACAGTAAACTTTTACAAACTTTTTAATCTAATTTATACACTTGGTAATCAGAAAAAATGAATGGAGGGGGGTTGCAGATTTCTGCTATAAAATTCTATGAATCTGCAAGATTTATTTTTTCATTAGAAAGTTTATCAATAAATCATAATGAATAGGTGCATGGTATGGTAAAATCTTTAAGGTTGTCTATAGCAACTTAACTGATATGCTTTTAGGGTGTGAGATTTTTTTAAAAAGTCGCAATGTCACTGGCGTAAAAAAGTCAATATTTTTGAAGGAAATCAAGTATTGGTAGTCTACAGGGCCTATAATAAAAGCATATAGATGAAGTAATCAGCATAAAATTAATGTCATAGCCAGCTGGTCATAGCTGGTTTTTAAAAATGAGTTACAAGATTTTATGAAAATATGACAGTGAAAGGAGGAGGGGAGTAAGCTATATAGAATTACTCCCCCTCCATTCACTTTACTCCCCCTTTCCATTCACTGTACAATTTAGATTACTTTTTAAAAATGTTTTGTAAGTAATTTATAAACAGTAATGACATACATTTTGTGATGATAATGTCATCTATTAGTATTAATAACATGTCATGTAGACCTCCACTGCTTGATTTCTAGCAAAAAGATTGACTTTTGCATGTTGGTGATGTTTTTTAATTTTTTTAATAGATCTGACACACCCTTGAAGGATGTCTGTTAAGAAATATCATAGAAAACCTTACAGATTTTACCATACCGTGCAGGCGTGCCCCTATTCATTTAACTATTTATTCATTAACTTTCTTGTGAAAAAATAAGTCTTGCAGATTTGTTGAATTCTCTGGCAGAAATCAGTTACTCCCTCTCAGTTCATCTTTTCCGATTACCAAGCATGATTTAAGTTTCATAAAATTAGGATAAATGCAAATTAAATGTGCTATGATGTAAAAGATGGATGACAAAGGTGCAAAGGTGTTTAAAAATAACTTTTTAAATCTAAAAGTACATTTTCACCTGTGAACAAAGTTAGTGGTGCCATCTATTGGGTCAATAATCCACGTCGGCGCATTTGTTAATGTGCATTTCTCGCCTGAAGAGACAGATTCCTCTCCTATGAAACTAAGAGATAAAGTTGCATTGTTTCATATTTTTACGAATCCTATACAACCCACATATAGTATATCTGCAAAGAGTATCACCTCTGAATGAAGACGCCTTCACTTGTGGAACGCAATGTAAAATGTGCCTGTGTTAAAATGGAACACCTCTCAAGTGGATCATTATTTTAAGGTATAGAAGGTGTTCAGTTTACATAGGTTTGACTGTACTCAAAACATAATGGCCAATAACTGAAGAATTTTGACAAGCTATTTCCACTTCTTTGTGATTCAATCTAAGATAACCACACCATAAAAGTAATGTGGTCACATAAAAATCTGAAAATTACCATGTGCTCTTATTTATACCTATTTATCTATTTGTGCTATTCTTATATTCAATTTATGTTTTATCAAGCAGTGTGTACATCTATCTAGGGTGTCCACTCAAAATAACTTGTATTGATTTAATTCTATATGAAGGAAGAAATAAATAAATAAAAAAGATTGCTCTGCGTCAAATTGTAATACTGTAATATGTTTTGTAAATAATTTGAATGGAACAATAAATAAAAATAAAAAATAAAATGATTGTGTTACGGTTACAAAATGGACTTAAATAGGTCTACACCTAGTTGACTTATCTAAAAGTTACAAATTGTGTTTTTTAATAAAACTTACCAATGTGTCGGAAACTTTTGATGGAATGTAGAAATGATCATTTTCTCCACTTGTTGGTCTGTCTCAGTTACAAGATCTGCCAGACTTTCTTTAGTCTCGATGCGCTTCTCTACCTCTAATGCGCTGCATATTACCTGCAATCAAGTAACAAGCACTATCAGGATGAAAGGAATCTGGAACTAACGTCGTCAACATTACAGTACTGTGAAAATATAATCAAGGAGTCGTGTATTTGCCACATTTTCATGAATTTGGAGATTTAGTGTCCTTAACTCTCCCAAACTGTAGAAGAATATGCCCTGTAAATTACATTTACCAAAATGAATTTCTCTAAGGTGATGCTTTTTTCATGAATTGAGTTCATTTTTCAATAAAACGAAGTATGGTTTGCCAGGTTTGTTTATTGTGGTTTGATTTCTTATTATGGTAAGTGCTCAGGAGTGAATAATTCATGTGCGCGCGTGAAATATCAAATAATCTGATTCACAATTGTGCATTTGTGAATTTATGTTTCCAAGATTTTTTTGCCTATAATAGCAAAATGTTTGCTTTGTTTGTGCATTCTATCCTTGATATAAGAGACTTCTTGTCTTGCAGTGCGTCCTTGTCTCTGTATATCAATATATATTTTATCGCTCCAAGTACACTATTTGCTTTATTCACACACTTATCCACTTGCTTGTGGAATTAAATTTCATTGCCACTATAATACCTAGGTTTACCATATTCTATGGCCACTGAGTGTGCCAACTTGGGAACACCTGACATGAGTGACTTTCAAATGTTGACGCATTTGTTCAAATTTTGGACACCTTGGTCCAAATCTGAACACCTTGGCCACATTTGCGCACCTTGGTTGAAATCTTATTCCATATAACCAAACTTTAGACACCTCAAAATTTTCGAGTGACTTCAGATTTTCCAGCAAATGCGTGACAAATACGCATATTGCGGGACAGTTGGACGGCCTGTTACAAGAGAGTTGATCATATTTCAGTTGATGAATAGCAATCATCCATCAGAGGAAGTGAAAAGATTATAAAACACATAGGGTTTCATGATCAGTGTAAGACAATGTTTACATACATGTAGGCTTAGAACAAGATTTACATGTTTCATGAACAACAACAAGATCTAGCTAAAGACACCGAAATTGAAAAGGACCTAAGCCTCAATATAGACAATAAGCAGACGGCAGATTCTCATCTTGAGGGCGGGGGTGAAAAAGATATACTCACCTTCCCAGCCTCTTTCGCCACATCAATAGCAACACGCAGATATTCATCAATATCCGAAGATTTTACTTCAATTTTGTCCATTTTCAATCAAAATGTTTTCGTCGACAGGTGGCAGGTCATTCAAAAAAGGGGAAACACCTCGGAATTCCCAAAGCTAGCCTCATTCTGGATTGATTTGGCGGAATTTTAAAAAGTTTAGGATTTTATCTCACCAAGGTTCATTCTGCTTTGGAATAATGATAGGTAGGGCTGCCATCGAACTCAAATGTCAGTGTCGACAGTCGAACTCTGCTGTCGAAAATATTGTCGACAATCGAACTTTCCAGGGAGAAAAAATCATCGGGAAAAAAAGAAAAATTATTTCTGTGTTGTTGGTTCGTTTTTTCCAAATCTATCGGGGAAAAGCTTCATATAACTTATATTCATATTGGTATGTAATTGCCTAATATTGTTACTAAATGCCAAGTTAATAGAATATTATAGACGAAAATGGGACAAATACCTGCAATGTTTCGACCGGGATTTATTTCGACTGCTCGGGCGAAATCTCGTACAACGTCTCGCAAGAGAGAAGAGAAGTCATGAAGGGAACTTCCGGGTGAATTTATTTTTTGAAAATGAAATGAATGTGAACAATATTTCCGCAGAATACGCGCACATAACACGTTGAAATGTGTATTGAAATGTATTGGGGCCATTTGGATATTTTCAAGTAAGTATTGATATCGTTTGCTGTCGACATGACGGGAATTTTTGTCGACTTCGTTGTCGAACTTGCATTTTGACTGACAAGTCGACGTTCCGACTAATGATGGCAGCCCTAATGATAGGTGAGCACGAACAGTCAAATCAAATTTTTAAATAGGTGGAACCAGCAGATACTATACATTTCTGAAGAGGTATTAGATTTTGCTAGACTAGCAGCCTACATCTCTGTTTCCATGAAAAAGGCAAGCAGTTGACTAAAATCATGGGCTTTCAATTAGAAGGGTATGCAACACTGTGTAATAACATGAGACCTTCAAAATGAGCAATGCCATGCTTCCCTTTTATGGTAATATTTCAAAAAGTATTAGATAAATGTATATGTTTTAGTATTATTTTAATTAAAAATAAATTTTCAATAGGATTAAAGCATAAAATATACGGAGTGGCTCCAGGACCGACAATTGTCGGTACTGGAGACTGTCCAGGGGTATTTGCTGGGGTACCGACAATTGTCGGCACTCTATCGTCACCTAGAAGTGTCAGATAGAGAACCGACAATTGTCGGTACGCAAGTGGCTGCTACGTGTTTTTGCTAGAGAGCCGACAATTTCATAAATAAATTCACTACTTTTTATTCCATAAATAACTTCATCACTGGTAGTCTAGTGGTTAGCGAGCACGATTCGAACACACTCGGATCCGAGTTCGAACCCCGGCAAGACCTATTTTTTTCTTTTGAGGGGGGGATAGTGCTTCTTTTGCAGTATTGAATCGTACAGGCATTAACTTGTAGTATGAGCCATAATTTATTTCGACAAAAATTGATTCAACTTCCATCAAAATTGTCCTACAAGCTTCAATTAAAAAACATTTTAAAGCTCTTTTCTTGTTCTATCTAATGGGTCGATATATACAATTAAGAGGGGATGCTTTCGCCCCCGTCGACCTCTACCCTTACTACGCCATGGCACAGGAGAAATATCTCATTTGGAATATATCACTGTTTACTTTGCGTTTGGTAGCTCTCTCATGCGAGATGGAATCGTGGCCATTAACTAAGGGAGCCAAATGCAACTTCCATCAAAAATTGTGCTATAGGTATGAGTACCGTAATCCAACACCAAATTCGAAAATTCATAACAATACTTTGCACATATGGCGTTCGTGACCAACTATGAAACGCTTACCCCCCATAGTGTTATATATCAAAATGCACCTGTCCATATAGGGGTTCGATTGACCTACATCAAATTATAGGGAGTCAGGTTACTTTTTGAGATATCAGCGTCCGTTTATTGTAACTCGCGTTTGCTACCACTTCCTCAATTCTGATATGACAGGCAAACGCGTAGTAAACATCCTCACATTCGGAACTATTTTTACCTACATCGCTATTTTCGTAATTCAAATGAAAGTTGAACTCCTCTTTATTTTGATACCAAATAGTGGGATACTAGGTACCCTAGAAGCCAACTATGGGTTATTTAGAACGATGCTACAGGTTTTTAAATGGACTATACACCTTTTGGCGGATGGAGATGGAACCTCATACCATACGATAAGCTCTAAAAAACATTCTAGCTATTTTCTTCTATCGAATGGGTAGCAAACGCCCCTTCCTTTTTATTGGGTTTTCAACGTTTACTACCATTCCCTGTTCCCGGGCTACCGTTTTTTGACTGGGTTTGGTAATCCCCGGGTAACCGGGGCTAATGCCCTCCCCGGGTTTTGCACTTGTTCCCAAAATATCCGTATGATATCTGAAATATCCCCCCGCGCATTGCGCATGCGCCAGAAAATTCGAAAATCAATATTTGTCGGTCCTCTAGCGTGTAAACACAGCATATCTCCCGTACCGACAATTTATTTGTCGGTCCTCTAGCGTGCCACCACATCAGAGTCTAGAGTACCGACAATTGTCGGTACTCTAGCCTTTACGTAAAATATATTCAATCTCATGTAAAAGTAAACAAAAAAGACAAATAATAATAAGAGGTATCAAGATGTTCTCTTCAAGTATTGCATTGTGGGTAATTATTCAAGAACACATTCCAATAAAAACATAATTTGTGGGAGAATGTTCACTCTCTGTATTGTCATGATAATGATGAATTCCATTTTTTATTGAATTATCAACATAAATGTAGATAATCACGTTTTTATTTTTGATTTATTTCTCTTAATCATCCATAAAAAGTACAAAATAAGATTTTCTGGGAATGTGTACATTCTCCAATTTTGAAAACCCAAAGGCAATGTTTATGTATGAAATATGGGAAGTTGCCTACCCTTCTAGTTGAAAGCCCATGCTAAAATAAATGTCATCTCATGAATTGACCCTCATGCGCTTTCAGGTGGTAGTAGACATTCCTTAAAGTGACACTGCAAGCTTAAACACTGCATATTTATTCCGAATCATACATAAAAATAAAAACAGAGAATTGTTCAGAGAATTGGGGATTGGTGGTCCCAAATTTGCTGTTATTTTCGCCATTTATACGTGTGACATCACAATTTATAGATACACCAAAGCCCATGGATACACAGATGATTGAATAGAGCATGGTCGTTCATATGGAGAACTAGAAAACATTCTATATTGGCTTTGCTGCATTCTGATTGGTTGAGAAATTCAATTAGAGCAGCATTAGAGGTTATGTTTGAATTGGATATAACCAATAATTATCTGTGAGGTCATATATCATTTAAAGACATAGTGATATTGACATTTTCTAGTTGTCATTTTAGAGATCCTTATGTATCTTTTCTAGACGATGTTGTAATTAAAGTTTGAGTTGTGTCACTTCAAGATGTCCGCCAGTGTCATATCCAGCCTGACTGATGTCAAGAAGGAACTAAAGAAATGGGAGACTAGTTTCTTCACGTGTCACGAAAGGAAGCCAGTAAAGGTAAGCTTTGAATCTACACTGGTTGATTCTGAGAGAACACACAAACTACATCTTTACACTACACCAATCAACATGATTATTATGAAAAAGATGTCATCGATTTTTCGCATTTTTATGTCATCACCAGAAGTGGTGACATATTGTTGTAGTGTCCAACTTTTCTTTTGGATGCCAGACAGTGTTTGGGATTTGACATCTGTAACATGGTGTCTGTAACAAATAACAGCATCTGTAACTAATGGCAGGTGGTGACATTTTGCCTGTTAATGCCTTGAATGAAAATATTCCAGATAAGGAATGATAAGAGCAAAAAAATTGTAAAATGACATTATTGAAAAACTGTTTCCTGACCTGCCTGACAATTGATGATTTGCGATCACTGGATGAATTCCATCTTGTAGTGACGTCACAATTAGGGCACACTGCTATAGCTTTTTGATTTTGAGAGATTATCTTCTGTATTTCGTACTTTATTGATTTATCTTTCATGAAAATGTTCGATTTGATTAGATCAACATTCATTCTAAGCACATGCCAAGTCTAAGATCTTACTGACATGATTAAGATAGCGGGGGGGGGGGGGCTTATAGGCATCGATGTTTAGTATGAATTTCACCGAAACTTCACACATATAAAGATATACTAACTCACGATCTAGTCAAATCGGCATACCTGGTAAATATCCGACCCATAGTTTTCATAAAAGAAACAATAACATTTTTAGCTCAAAACTGCCACGTGTCCGCCATTTCGTCTCTTCATCATGTCTAATATCATTTCTATATGACGTCACACCAATAAGACGGAATACATGACAACAGTATCCATAAACAAAATACCTGAATTCTGATCACAAAAGGTGAATTGTTATCTATATGTCTTCTACATGTACATTTACATGTGTACAAGTTGTATATATGTATTATTGTTTTCTTTGTTTACAGGGAGATATTGAGGAAGCTCCTCAGAGAATCAGAGGTACGTATTACTTTACTATTAATATAAGTGCGTATGACATCTTAAATGTAAATACAATATGATAGTAGCAGGTGTTACTAATCTATTGTTCCATGTGGATAAACCCAAGCCAACAGGCATTAAATTAAGCGTTAACTAAAATTTGAGCAAAACTATATTTAATATTCTAGTGTACATTAAACACATTCAAAGCTAACAGGCATATTAAACTTTAACCAAAATTTGAGCAAAAATATTTAGTATCCTCATGTACGCATTCAATGCTTTGGATAATGTATGTATAATTCGATTCCAGATCTCTACCAAAAATACAATCGATTAAAAAGAGACACAAAGAGCGGTGAAGTTCAGTCTCAAAGTAATACTACATCAAATGTGAATGAAGACAACACTAAAATAGATAGGGACAAATGCAGTAATGAAAGCCTTGAGTCTAAATGTGATAACAATAATGACCAAGATGATGTTTGGGGTAAAGACTGTAATAAGAAAAAGAGATCTGCAAATCCCATCAAGAA